ACTCCCATTTCATTTTCCGATTTTAAAATCTTGAAAAACAAATAAGATTTTTCAAACTCTCATTTAATTTCAAAATGTGCCACTTATTTGTTAATTTTGAAACCCCCATTATCAAGCTCATTTAAAGACTATAAACTTAGGGAGGTGTCATTTATTACGTGATTTTTTGCAAATATTAAATTTACCCTCCTTCCCTACATGATAAATGATAATCAGCAATTGAAAGCCCGATGGCTTGTTTTCTCTTAGTAAAATTTATTTAATATATATACATAATATTTTGTTAGGGACCCCTCCCAAAAAAATCACGTAATAAATAACACCTCCCTTAGGCCACCCCAATTTGATTCTCTGTTTAACATAACACTAATAAATGATCTGCAACTCTAAACATGAGGGGGGGGGGTAAAAAATATGAGATTTGATTGGATAAAAAAAATTTTTTTTAAACAGTTAATATGATTTTTATATTAAGTATTGTTTATTACCCCCTCTATCTGAGTCAAAAAGAGGGGGGGGGTATGTTAAACAGAGTTTTATCTTGGTGTGGCCTTAGTAATAATTTTATTAAATTGAATTTAAAATTTTATTTATTTTATTTTACTTTTCAATAAAGTTTAAGATTTTTATTTACTCAAAAATTGAAGGAATCCAAAATGCATCTAGATGAGTTAATTGGGTATGGGAATGCAATGAAGCTTTTGGCGATAGAATCAGATATTGATTTGTTATATTTGGATGCTTTATCTTTAAAATATCATTGTAATATTCACTAATGATCTTTGACTTATTATTTAACCATTCTTGCTTCTCATTTTGAGGAATTTTAAGATACTCGTCAAAGGTATCGTAGACTTCACTTTTCAAATAATAAACTAAACTAGATGACACTGAAAATTCACGCACAGAATAATCTAAGTATCTTCCATCAAGCTGTGCGTCATCTACTGAATGGAATGCCAGAAGAAGTTCGAATGGAATAAGATTTTCTTCTTCAATTTCAAAACGACTATATAATCAAACAAAAATTAATAACAACTGAAATATAAAAACTAGTGTTTTTTTTAATTTACCTTATTAACACTTGTTCACGACACTCAGAACAAATCTTGGTTTTCAGTTCAAGGATTAAAGAAAAATCTGAACGCTTGCAAAATTGACATCTTTGATACATAAAGTTTAAGTAACAATATTGCTGTTCGGTCATATGAATAGGACATTTGTGGTTATAATTTGGTTGTTGTTGTCTAGATTTCTTCCAAAAATATTCCACTTGTAATTTTTCAAACAAAAATTTGGCAACTTGTTTCAAAGAAAATAGATCTTTTGGAGTTAAATACGAACAAATTTCAGCTAGAATAACATCAGTTAATATTAATTCCTTCCATTTCACATTATCAATAATTTCAGTTATTCGCAAAGAACCAAAATCTATTCATTCGAGAAGTCAGATAATTTACATATACTATTAGAAGGAAATATAAATTAAGCATACCTATTTCGTATTTATTTTGGTATGTTTTAAATAACTTTTTCATTTTTTGAAAAAAAATTGTTAATTCTGCATTTTCTACAGAATATGCCATCAATTTAAATCTATAGTCTATTACGCTACTTAAATCATTACTTTTATGTCTTAATGCCTCATTTTCATTTAATAAACTATCAATTTGGTTTTTAAGTTTTATAACATCTTCTTTGAGTTTATCGAGATCTTTTAGACGTGATTCAAGTTCTTTAATTTTTATTTCTTTACGTTTGAATCTACGTTGAAGATATTTCACATGTCCTTCAAGAAAAGCGATTGTAGCCTTTTCAATGTCGAAAGTATTGGAACGGAGATGTCGTTTATACTCAGCTAAACGAGTCATAGTTATTGTAATGAATTTTTCGGAAGCGATGAATTTTATTTACTTTATTACCATTATATACAGTATGTATTTAAATAAGTTGAGCCATATATTAAATAAAAACGTGCGTGAAAATTTAGTTAATATTACTATATAATTCTAAAATAATATAATATAATTAGGGTCTCGGTTGATTTTGAAGGCAATAAAACCTGTTTATGAAAATGTAATTTCTATAATTTTACATAAACCGGAATTGAACTTAATAATTAGCGCGTTAGTGTCGGATTGATGCCAA